TTCTATTAATTCAGAATGCAATGAGACAGGGCAGGATTCTGGTATCCTCCAAAGAGCTTTGGAGCTGGACAAAGCAGAGTCACACTCTTTTTGCCATTTCCATTTGTGTCTGAGTAAGAGACAAACTCTACACCCAATCTTGTGGTCCAGATACTGGCTTTTGTTTTAATTAAATTGACATTTATTACATGCCAAATACCAGAATGTACCCTCTAGTACCCAGTCCAGCTTAAAGAATGTTAAAGGTGCTCCAAAAATGGTGCTTGTTATTGCCAGGGAACAGATTCTGGAAAAGAAATCCTGGGCCAAAGCCAAACATTGACATGAGCACCCTCCATTTGCCAAATATTTTACCAATACCATAAACATAAAAATGCAATCCCTGCCCTCAAGGGGCTTACAATGAAACAGGACAGAAAAATCCATTATTTATAAAACAATGTGATAAATGCAAAAGCAAAAAATATATACACAGAATATATGGGAACACAGGGGAATGGCTGGGGAGGGGGGGTGGGTAGATAAATCTGGAACTACATCCCAGATGGTTGACAAAGAATTCCATTCTTGCTTTTTACTCCAGAAAGCTTCCTAAGCCTTTACTTGGGGAACCACCTACTGAGGTACAGCTCATCTCAGACTCTCTCCTTTAACTTTTACTCACACTCAATCCCATTCATCATTGGGGGGGCGGGGGGGTGTTGTGATTTAAGCAACACAGAGAAGGGTTACTTCTCTTCCTCTCCCACGACCGCATAAAAATCGAAATCACATTTTCCCAAATCCTTCTCACATCCATGATAAAGACTGGGTGTTTTACAAGTTACACAATCACCCTAGATTTAAGCTGTGTGGAGGGTAAGGAACCAAAACCATCAGACTGGGATGTCATTTCTTCTAGACCAGCTAAACGGGGTCCACCTGGTTATTCTGCCTATTCCACTAGGCGAGCAATGTACCGGAACCCTGGAACACTGTGCAAATGTCAGTAAATCTTCTCCGTGAATCCAAACTGTTACCAAGATTTATATACTTAATAAACATCTAAAACACAAACCCATGCCTACATAAGGAGCGCTGGCATTCCCCCAAAAATGCAAATTTGGCTGCTGCCCCTAAAATAAACCTCTGTGGGAAAGTCAGACACCGAACAGCTACAATGTAAGTGAAGACCAGCGAGAACAGAGGCACTTGTATCTGCATCCATTCCCGGACATCCCACTTGACACTCGACACAACAATCCTGTGAAAAAACAGGGTATGTCCATTTTTACAAGTTTGCTCCATTAACGAGCAAATCTTCTGAGCCCTGATCAATTGACACTCTAAAATGTGCATGAAGCTTATTATTACCATAAAGCAAAGTAACAAAAAATCGTAACAAGTATCCCGAAGGTTCTAAATATCCACACAGGAAGGAAATGGTAAAAGATCAGTTTCCTGACTTATGAAATAAGAAGGCTGGACTGGATCAGGTGATCAAATAAGGAGCATTCCAGGAAACCCTCCCACCACCACTCTCTGGGACCACGACCTCCCAAAGCAACCCCGAGGGTGAGGACATCAAGCACTCTTTCCCGCCAAGCCCAGAAACGCATTTATGTGCCGATCAACAAGAGAGCCACTACCTGGAGAAGATAAGCAAAATATAACCTACTTACCATCCTGGAACCAGAAGAGGCCCAGAAAGGTAAAGCAGACTACCCCAAAGTTTTACATAACTAGTCTAAGAGCTGAGCCCCGAAACAAGAGAAGCAACATTACTGTACGTGCTACACAGCATGCAAATATCTTCCCTTCCACGATCATCTGACCTCCACTACCCCGTCAATAACCGTCCCTTTTTACATATTTTAAGACATGGATCAGTGAAATCACGTGATTAGCTGCAGGTTCCCCAGCTAGCCAGTGGCTTCGATGAAGCCTCACAACCCTACCACGCCTTTTCTAAGGTGAGAAAGTGACACAGTAGTGAGTAGAAGCGTGGACTATTTACATACACGACGGACCCACAAACATCAAAGCAATAATCTTCCAGGCTCTTCTTACCCACTAGCCTACGTACAGTTGTGTTACGTCAGAAAGCTCCTCCTTCTGTAAAAAAAAGATCCTGGGGCTCCTGGGCAGCTCAGGCCATTAAGCATCCTCCCACTCTTGAGTTTTTGGCTCAGGTCATGATCTCAGGGTGGTGGGATCAGCCCTAAATTGCACTCTGTGCTCAGTGGGAGGCAAGATTCTCTCCCTCTCCTTCTGCCCCTCTCTGCTTGTGTGCTCTCTGAAATAAATAAATCTTTAAAAAAAAAAAAAAAAAAAAAAAAAAAAAAAACCTGGAGTAACCAACTAGTTAAAAAAAAAAAAAAAAAGGAATCATTTAAAAGGCCTACACTCTATTACTACTACATATACACACACCTACCTCCAACACAAATCATCTTATTCTTTTGAAATATTACCGAAACAAAAAATAGTAGAACCAAGAAGCTGGAAGTTATGGTAACAAAATTACCAGTTTTGGGGGCCTCCTCCTTTTCACCATATTGTCTGAGAAACTTTCTCATTTCTTTAGAGAATGTTCTTTAAGCAAAGTATTAACCAGTAATTCTATATAGAGCTTTTCACATGTGTAGAATGCCTTAAAGATGGTCTCAGGAATGTAAAGCATTATCCACTCCCCTTCTGCCTAGGAATATTACACCCAGCCAGACTGCTATTCCTGAAATTGAAGTCATCGGAGTGATCTTATCACAAATACTTAAATGGCAACATATCCTCTCTTCGGAATTCTGACCAACTGCATGGAAATTCCTGCCCATCCGTTCTTTATTTCTGTACAGACTTTAAACCATCAAGTACCTCTTAATATAAAAAGACTCAATTTAATACCATAACACTAATGTCCTACTGTACTTAAAAGCATCACTGAGATGAAGTCAAATATTAATAGAACCTGAAAAGCCCTTTCTTAAGCACTGAAACATCCCAAAGCTTTTTGCACCCGACACAAGAACCTTTTACTTCCACACCAAAGCAGCCTACTTTCCCCAGGATATAAGGAACGTGCACAGGGGAGTTGCACCAACCACCTACCAAACAATCCAATGCCTACCAAGTGAAAAGCTGATCCTCTTTTGTGCTCTTCAATTATTCAGAATTCGCCTACGAAGAATCGCTGTGGACTACCTGAGCAAACCTTTCAGACCTGGCCACCCATGTTTTGCTCTTATGCTACTGGAAAGTACCCACTCCAAATTCAGTAAGGAACAGAGCAGGAAGTTTAGAAATTTACAAGTTACTCTGCATTAGAAAAGGAACTTATAAGTGAACAGGTAATTTACCTGTGACACACACAGGACAGGGATCAAACTTCATTGAATACCCAGAACTTACTTCTTTTTTTTTTTTTTTTTTTAGTTCATAACTTCTGAATCAAAAAGCTTTATGATTTTATTTTAAAATACCCCAGTTTTCGCTGTTCTACATTTCTCAATGTTGAGAAAAATTTACCCAAATTGGGGGGGGGGGGGAACACCTCCTAACTTCTGGTCTGCAAAACTCCTTACAGCATTGAGTCTTTAAGACAGAAATCAACAATACATGCTATTAGAAGGTATAACGTTACATATGTTTTATTTTAGTTCCTGCGTTTTCAAGGACATCAGTACCCGGATTTAAAAAGAAAAAAAAAAAAAATGCTCAAACCCATGGTTCAAGTTTTTCCGGCCGAATTTTTCAGAGATGTTGTTTCTGGTCTGCACGCCATAATTACATTTTAAAATGATCCATTACATTTGAAAATAAGTTGTGTGGAATGACTAAGGAAAAGGGGTCACTTTTCCTTAAAAGCTTTAAACACATTTTTAAGGCCAAGAAAATCAGCGTTTGTAACTTGGAATCGGAGAAAACAGAATTCAAATCCCCAGTAAGCTGAAGTGAAAAACACAGTTATGTCACACAAAAACATATTTAAAAATAAAAATGGCAAAATGTTCAAGCTGGATAGAAAAAAAAATAAAGAAAACTAGCGTTTAAAATGGAAACTACTTAAATTGAGAAAGAATCCCAATGACATGACATTTTCTCGCCAAAGCAAAGGAATCTCAAGGCTCTACCGCTGAAATCTCATTGTACTGCGTTATGAAGGTCTTGGCAACGGCTGGCCATTAATCTCGAGCACAAAGGGGCCTCCGCGGCGAAGGCAACGAGAGCCCACCTCCCCTCGAGGCCGAGCGCAGCCCCCCGCGGGACCCCCGGCGGCAAAGCCCGGAGGCCCGCCCGCCCCGAGTCCTGCGCCAGCCCCCGGGGCTCCGGGCGCCGAGCGGGCCGGGGCGCACAGAGCGCGGCGCGTCACCACCAGCAGGGCGGGCCGGGGGGACACGCAGCCCACCGCGGCTCCCGCGCGGCCACCGCAAGCCCGCTTCCCGACCGCACGCTGGCAACGCGGCTCCGGGGAGGACCCGCGGGCGGCGAGAGGGGAGCGGCCGCTGCAGTGCCTCGCGGCCGCCCCGGAGCCCAATGCGCCCTCCAGACGCAGGCCCGCGCCGCGCCCGCGCCCCCGCCCCGCCGGCGACCGGTCACCTTCCAGTGCTCGGTGCCCACCGCGCTCAGGCACCCGCTACCGCACACTCGGGGCTCCCAAACTTTTCTGCCCTCCCCATGCCCCCCCACCCCCGGTTCCAGCCGGGATGAAGGCGCACGACTCCTCACCTCCGCCCGGAACAATACCCGTCTCCCGGCAACGCGCACGCCAGGGCAAGCGACCCCCTCCCCATCCCTATCCCGGGGCCGGGCCGGGCGCGCGGGCGGGGGAGGGGACAGGCCGAGCAGGACCCCGGGGACGGCAGGCGGCGCCGCGACGAGACCCAGCGCTGGGTGCGGAGCGAGGCCCGAGGGACAAAGGGACGGAAGCTCTGGGGCCGGGCGGCGCCCGCCGGGGGTGGGGGCCTCCGCCGGGTCGCGGCGCCCGCCGCACAATGGCCCGCCGCCCCCGCCCGCGCCCTCACCTCATGGTGCCGGCGGCCCGCGGCTCCCCGGCGGCCGGGAACGCGGGGGGCGCGAGCCGGGGCCTCTCCTCCCGGGGCGGGGACGCGGCTGGAGGACGGCGGACGGCGGCCAGCGCGCGGCTCCTCCTCCGGCGGCCGGCGCTACACCATGTCCCCGCACAAAGCGGCGGCGCGGGCCGAGCGCGGGAGACGCAGCGGAGGCCGCGAGGCTGCGAGGGCGGGGGCCGAGGCGGCCGGGCCGCCGGGTGCGCGTCGTCCCCGCTGCGGGAGCGCCCCGCCGCCCTGAGAGGGAGCCCGCCGCCGGGCCGAGTGCAGGCGGCGCCGCAGCCGCGCAAGAGAGCCGCGAGCGCCGCGCGGGGCCGGGGAGGCGGGGCTCGCGGCCGGGGAGCACGCAGGCGCCGCCCTCGCTCCCGCCCCACCCCCCTCCTCCCCGCCCCCACCCCACCCCCGGGGCGGGGGCGGGGCGGGGGGGGGCGCACGGCGAGGGGCGGGGCAGGAGCGCCCCCGCGCCAGCCGACCGAGCCCGCTGGCCTGCGGTGTGCGCTCGGCGGAGTCCTTTTGTGGCCTCGGGCCCGCCGCCTGCTCTCCCCCGCGCCCGGGTTGCGGGGGCTGCGGAGGCTGCGAGCTCCCCAGCCCGCACCTGGGCGGGGGCGGGGCACCTAGTCACGACAGGGGGGCCGCATTGTCCTCCGGGACCGCCCGCGCGACGCACCAGTCGGGAGACAAGCTCCCCGGCAGTGGGCATGACCTCATCAGCGAGCGCACGCGGTCCCGGGCGTGGGGGGTGGGGGGCGGGGGCTGTCGCCGGGCGGTGGAGGGGCGCGGGCCGGGGGGGTTAGTGGGGGACCCGGCGACCAGGGGTCAAGGGTCCTGTCTTTCACGGGGCTTCCAAGTCACCTGCTTGGAAAGGTAGCTGCGGAGTGCGGACGCCGCAAACTCGTAGAAAGCCCCGGGGCGGGGGGCGGCCTCCAAAGACAAATCCCCTAATCAAGTAAGGCTTCAGAATGGACAAATGGCAGGCGTCCTGGAGTCCCGACGACGAGGAGGAGGGGGACGGGGTGGGTGGGGGGAATTCTACTGTACAAAAGGTGGCTGGCGTGGAAAAGGTCCCCTGCAACCAGGTTCGGATCGCTGCACCATCCGGTCCAAGATGGAGGCCCTAGCATGACTCCAGGAAATCTATTCAAAAGTTTTGGTGTGTTATTTTAAGATGGACGTACAATTGCAACTGTACTAGGACACTGGAGATCATGTGCACTTCCAGAAGCAAAGCAAGAGAGTGACAGTCATGCTTGGTCAATGCCTGCCTCGTCTCTCATGGAACTGTGCGGCCCAGTTTTAACTATAAAAAGCTTCCCCCGGTTCCAGTTTCCGTACTGAAGGATTTTCTTTTCGGGACCTGCAGCCCCAAGCCGATAGCCCTGTGGAAGCAGTGGCCTGGAGCTATGGCCCAGGACCGGGGTGGCCTCAGGTAGTAAAAAGCTCCGTGCGTCTGCCTTAACACGGTGTACTTGGAGAACGCTAATTTCCACCCACATAACTAATTACAGCTTACAGCCACAGAGAGTTTTATTCAGGGATCTCCAAGCACGGAGAGAGAACAGCCTTGCCAGTCAGGTGTCCTTGTTGCAATATTGCCAGCAGAGATAGGGAGGCAACACGGACTGGGCCAGGCCCGCGCTGGGCACCCCTAGACACCATAGCTACAAACTATGAGGCGCACCGTTTGACCATCAACATAAAACACAGGCAACCTCAAAGAGGATCCTCCAAATCAACTGAAGACCATTGGCTGGGATGCTTTGTTTTTGGAAAAGGAATAAGACACACTGAGCCATCATGGGGGAGGTATGAATAAGACAGACTCGACCACAAAGAACTAGCACCCATTTGCCCTAGTCAGTTCACAGCAGTACAGTAAGCTCAGCAAATCTTACATTTCACGGAAAACTCTCTCAAAGGGCCCAAAGGGGGTGGAGATTTTGCTGTAATGACTCAGACCACCTCCTCCTGCCAGAAAATGCCTTACAGATGACTCCATAACCCACTTCGCGTTTGTGAAATTTAATCCATCCGCACTCAGTAAGCCATCTATCACATCGTCTTTGTCCTAACAGCAAACATTCCAATGGTATGGGCACCAAGTGGAAAAGGCTGCTCTTGTTTTCTACGTTTATTAAAAATGTACCAGCCAAGAGTCTTGGCTGCCTATGACCCTTTCCATCCTTTGGCATGGCAGCTCTCCAGCTCTAAGTTGGGCATACCGTTGCCTTTGGACTTGGATATTGCAATGGGTGGCCCGACCTTCAAAGGTCATTCTGTGGCAAGCAATGTGTTGCTTGTGACAAAATGTTGTTGCTTCTCATTCACATTTGGTTTAACAGTCAAAAAGGGGCAAAGAAAAGCTCGAGCTTGGGAAATCACAGACGAGTTCTGGTCACAGAGGAAACTTTGTAGAACATGTTGCCCTGTGGAATTAAAGAATTTTAGAGACGGAAAGAATCTTAAATCCCTCCCACTCGTTTTTCCAGAAGGGGAAAGGGAGACGTAGAGAGGTTAAGTAAACTGCCCACTGACACACAGCCACTTTGTGGGGGAATGTAAACCCAGGATTTCCAGGGACAGGTTTAGTCCTCTTTCTGCCCCCTGAAACCCCCTATCTATAGCAAAAGAAGAGCGGGGTGAAGCGGTCCGAGTTAAAGCTGATTCTCTTCTCATAAACCCTGCTTAAAGGCTAATTTTTAATTGAGTGACTAGGCTGGATGGCGAAAATGGTTTGAACACCTAGAAGAAGTGTTGCCCAGCCAGAAGCCCAATGCCCGGCCTTTATGTAGGCACCCAGATGTTTGAAAGGTGAAAGAAGGCAGGCAGGCAGGAAGGAAGGAATGTCCACCTGTTCTAATCAAAGATGAAAAAGAGACCATTCATCAAAAGAAATGGATTCTCCTCTTAATGCTAAGTGTGTGAGCCTCCACGTCCCCTCCTCCAGCAACACCCCAGCTGGATAGGACCGTAGGAGGTCTGCTCCAAGCCCTAGGTATTCACAGCCTTGGTGTTGGTCTACACATCTGTCAGTGTGCAGCCAGGCGTGAGATGAAACAGAATCCATGCTTCTGCTGAAGATGAGTTCGCTGCTGGAGTGTTGTCAGTCTGGTTCGGAGGGCTCTCTCAGAACACGCCTTGTTTAAATCCGTCTGATAGCATCAGTGTGGGCTTGTCCTCCATTTATGGGCATGAGGAGGATGAATGACTAATGCAATTCACCCGTCAGGAAGTCAGCGTTATGGATTGTAGGCATGGTCTCCCGGGCACCCAAAAAAGGATTCTCCAGGAGTGACTTAGGGAAGAGCAGGTCACTCAGAGGGAACGTGATCGTATCCTTCCTTCTTCTCTTATCAGTATTTTTTCTTGTGTGGCCGACCAGCTCATGGCATATCGTTTATCTCTCCAAGAAGGGGAAAAAAGAAATAATACAGAATGTGATGTTCCAGTAGGATTCAAGATATTCTCTTACTCATCTTTCAGCCCTAGCTGCCCATATATAATCTGGGTCCTAAAATATTATCAGAAGACGTAAACATGAGGGGAAAGTATTTGCCTCTGACATTTATGTTTTTCTCCATTTGTCATTTTTCTCCCTTCCAAATTAGGACTTATTCTGTTAATTTCATTTCCTCTTCCCAGAGTCTCTTTTCTCAGTGCTTCACTGTGGTAACTTGACAGAAGATTCCCAAATCCTGAACTGTTACACTGAATTGGTAGACACCATATTCAATAAAATGTAGTACATTATTTCCACAGAATTCAGCCATGGCTGTGATTCAAAGATTATTGGGGAGGGGGAGGGGCAGAGGGAGAGAATCCCAAGCAGACCCCATGCTTAGCAGGGGAGCCCAATGTGGGGCTCCATCTCACGACCCATCATGAGGTCGTGATCTAAACCAAAACCAAGAGTCAGATGCCCAAAAGACTGAGCCCCCAGGTGCCCCTGCCACAGGTGCTATTTAAAGAATACAGCAGGTGGGCTCCAGTTCTAAAGAATTTTTTTATTTGTCTATTTTCAGAGATAGAAGGTAGAAGCAGGGGGAGTGGTAGGCAGAGGGAGAAGCAGGCTCCCCACTGAGCCAGGTGCCCAACATGGGACTCTATCCCAGGACTCTGGGATCATGACCTGAGCCAAAGACAGATGCTTCACCAATTGAGCCACACAAGCATTCCCCTCTGCCCCGACACTTTTTTTTAAAGATTTTTTAATAGATGGGCTCCAGTTCTAGATAACAATCAAATCATGGTGCTTTACAGACTGGATCGAAAAGAGACACCACCACAATCCATTTCTGAACCCTCACGTCTTCTAAGATCTGCCGGCAGCTTGGGAAGAACTAGTGGTTTCCCTCTTTCTTGCATTTACATTGATTTACTTGTCCCATTTACTGTAATCAGACTCTAGAATACCAGTCAATCATCTTAGGGACATTACAATCAGGTGACAATTGACCTTGGAGTCTTTCCTCAAAGGGGATCAGGCAGAAAGTTAATAAAGAAAAGATGATTTTCTGCCTAATCACAGTAGCGGAGAAAGATAGTACCACGAGGCTGTATCCTGAACGAGCAGGCTGTCCAAAATGAGTTCACACAGCTTCACACTGCATTGTCTGTGGCTTTGCTCAAGAGCCAGGATGTTTGTTGCAAAGTTCATTAAAAATCCCAGCTATCGAGGGGGGGGGCACCTGGGTAGCTCAGTGGTTTAAGCCTCTGCCTTCGGCTCAGGTCATGATCCCAGGGTCCTGGGATTGAGCCCCGCATTGGGCTCTCTGCTCAGCAGGGAGTCTGTTTCCCTTCCTCTCTCTCTGCCTGCCTCTCTGCCTGCTTGTGATCTATCTCTGTCAAATAAATAAATAAAAATCTTTAAAAAAAAAAAAAAATCCCAGCTATCGGGGCACCTGGGTGGCTCAGTGGATTAAGCCACTGCCTTCAGCTCAGGTCATGATCTCAGGGTCCTGGGATCGAGTCCCGTATCGGGCTCTCTGCTCAGCA